GAAGATTCACTGCTTGATCTTTGCTGAGTGTTCTGCCTTGAAATTACTCATAATTATAAGAATTCGAGGCAGAGGACCATAAGCAATTCTTCGAAAAATTTTGTAGTCGCTGCGGCATCACCGAGCAGTCGATCGGCCAGCTAGTGACCGCGGCTTTTACTGGGTCAAAAAGACAGAAATGAGAACCAAACCACTTTGGGTGAACATAGATCGAATAAAGCGCCAATCCCAATGTGACGCCTGCACCCTGTCAGTCCCAGCATTAAATAGTTTCATTTCGTAATGCTTGAAAATTTTCAAAATTTCGTCGGTTTATTGCATCAAAAATTCTGTTGCAGCTGATGATGCATCCACCGAGAATCCAGCAGCACAATCAGTCACTGAAAAAGTACGTCTACCGGAACCAAAAGCGTCACCAGCTCAATCACCAAAGCCGAAACCGTCACCAGTCCAAATTCCCACCCCACCACCGCCTGCGCCGGCTTTACCGAAACCAGAAAGCCCACACGAACCTGAACCGGGAAAGCCAGTAGGCGCACCTTTGCCGGCGAAGCCTCCACCCGAGCCAGAAAAGCCAGCGACTGGAGCTAAATCCAAATCAGTCTCAAGTAAAGGTAAGCCAGAAAATGCAGTCGCCAGTTACTTCTGCTTTAGCTAGTATCTAACCTACCTGACTAATGATGATGAAAGCGTTCGCTGTGAAATTTTGCAATTTTTTCAGAATAATCCAACTTTTTTCGATAACTTTTTTTTTTGTAAAACCGAACATAGTACTGTTTTAACATTTAAATTTTCATCATTTTATGAAGCAGGCACCGGCCAAAGCAGCTGGAAAAGTTACTAGCAGCGTAGTTAAAGAACTATAAAACAATTGAGCCACACATATCAATATGAGTGAGAATCGTTAGTATGGTTTCCAAGGCGAGTCGGCAACAGATTTGTGAAGCAAATCTAGTATCGCTCAAAACTTAGTGGTTTTAAGAAAACAAAATTAAATTTAGCAATGCTGAACCAAAGTATGAATGGTTTGACAAAAAACTTGCAACTGTTGGTCTTTGGATTTTCGCGGGATTCCAGTTTTTCTTAACTTTCTTATAGTTCCTTTTAATCGTTCTGCTAAAAGATCTCCAGTGCTATCGAATACCTTTTCAGTTTTGTAACTTATTTTTCGACTAGCGTCCTGTCTGAAACAAATTGGCTCCTAGCAATTCAAATAGACATGAGCTTTTGTTTCTGTAAAAATTTCACGCAGTTCTAGTGCGCATAAGCAAATCCTG